CAACAACTACCATTTTTATTGAAAAAAATCAAGAGCTTTCATTTGGCTAAGGCAGCAAGTTAGAAACTGGAAGGCCATGAGTTCTACTTCCAATTTAGCCATGAAAGCTGGCTGGGTAACTTTGGGCCAATCATTCTCTCTCTCAGTCCAACCCATCTCACAGGGTTGTTGTTGGGAGGAAATGGGAAGAGGAAGGTGTGTTGAATATGTTTGCTGCTTTATTTGCAAACATAATAAAGGTGGGATAAAAATAAGTAAATATAACCAGGCTGAAATTATCATACTTTGGACCAGTGGTGAAATTCATTTTTTTTTACTACCCGTTCTGTGGGCGTGGCTTGGTGGGCGTGGCAGGGGGAAGATACTGCAAAATCTCCATTCCCTCCCCACTCTGGGGGCAGCCAGAGGGGGTATTTGCTGGTTCTCCAAACTACTCAAAATTTCCACTACCGGCTCTCTAGAACCTGTCAGAACCTACTGAATTTAACCGCTTTATATAATGACACATATATACAAAGACTCAGTTCTCTTGAGAAATATACAAACCTGGGAAAGGTGGAAGGAAAGAAGAGGTAGAGAGCAGTACGATAGAGAGACAAGATGCAATGGGTGCATCACTGGAAGACTTGTAGAGACAGGCTGGAGACAGATCGTCCTGAAGAAAGTATCTCCATATTGTAGATGGGAGTAAACATGAACTTGATGGCACCAATCAACTATCATTTCTCCTTTCCTCAGAGTTTATGAGATTCATTTGGGTTCCAGGGGCATTTTTGGAAATAATAAATATACTGACTGTTTTTGCTTTGCTACGTATCAACTCTCCTCCCCTTTTCTTCAATGTAGTTAGGTAAGGGAGAGAGCCAGGCAAGCACCAAGGGAGCTGTACATGAATACCATACTGCACCCAAGTGCCACAGTGGGAACTCATGTCAGGTAAATAGTGGCAGGAGGAAAAGGAAAGCTCTCATCCCACCTTCCAATTTCCAGTGTCTTAATCTCATTTTTAGCTCCCAATTACTTTTAACCCCCCCTCACTTCCCAAAGATATCACATAAAATGGTATAAATCTGGAAAGAGCTCTAATTCCTAGCAGCCAGTCCTGCAAGTAAAAAGACTCTTTTATAGAGAGATCAACCGCATACCAGAAACAGTCTTGTAATGCTAAGTTATTGGCGGGGGGGGGGGGGGATACCAATGAAAAGAAGCAGGCAAAATAGACTAGTTTAGAGAGTAATAACTTCTACACAAACTCATATTCTTTTCAAGGCAGGTTTATATGTGCATTTAAAATATCAGTTCCATTAGTATAATAATTGCTAACAATATAATTTACATGATAAAATTGACCATATAAGCTCTTTTAAAAATTAAGTCTTAACTTTAATACCCTTCTCAAATCTTATCATATTATTGTTTATTGTTTCTATGCCTCTTTTGCTTGTTACAGGCTGTGTATTTAGTACCTTTAGTACCTCAAAGCATGTAACTTTTAACTTTATAGTACTTGATCCTAGGTTCTTATTAGGACTTATAACATAAATAAACACAATCCTCACTATCACCATAGAAATATGGTGCCATGGATATGCCATGGATGCATATTAATGGTCTTTCTTGCTCTTTGGCTGAAAAGTGATTGATGAACATGAGAAATAAATTTTTCCTCCTCAGAAAATCAACCATGAGAGCAGATTTCGAACTAAGCACTTTGAGTCCTTTTATTTCAGAGGAAAAGGTGAGGGTTTTTTTGGGGGGGAGGGTAGGGAGAAGCATTAACAAACTATTGCATAGCTTTGATAGGAAAAGACATAAAAACACACACACACATAAAGGGACCGAACAGGTATCCGCCGCATTTAATAAGCAAAGAAAAATAAACTTCTAATTTGCTTGTTGAAGAAAACCTTCCCGAGAAGTCACATCCAGGGCATTCACCCGCTAGCGACGCAGAAATGTAAAATACTAACGAGCTGAAGTAAACAGCACGACTTAACGGAGTGGGCAACCCCAGAAATGTGTCAAGCAAAGCTGGATCGGATGCACTCCTAACGGCGCCGTCTTCGGGACGAAGCGGGGACCAGACAGGCGTCTGCAACGAGCCGCGGCTCTTCAGGAAAAGCGGGTCACCGCCAGCTGCCCGCCCGCTAGCGCCCACGATCAGTGGCTGAGGAGACTCTGACAGTCAGGCGCCGTGGACCTGCGAATCAGCTGGCGGCCCCTTGTCGCCGAAGGCTCCTTTTTCGCCTCTGGGCCACCAAGGTCTTCTTCTTCTTCTGCCTCTTCTTCCTCCCCTTGGAATCTCAGCTCCTCCGCGCTCCGCTGGTCTAGCGGCAGTTGCCGCTCGCTGGCCGCGCGAAGCGGGGGAGAAGCAGCCGACGCGGCCCCGTCGTCGTCGTCTCCGGCCTGCGACGACGGCGACTGTGGGAAGATGAGGAGCAAGGCGCCGGCCGAGCGCAGGGCCTTCACGCACTGGTGGTGGCCCCCGCTGGCGGCCAGCTGGAGTGCCGTATGGCCGGCGCGGTCGGCGCGCTCGAGGCGGAGCTGCCCGAAGCGACGGAAGGCGCGCAGGAGCCACTCCACCACCGACGTCCGCCCTTCCGAGGCGGCGTACATGAGGGGGCTCCAGCCGCGCGCGTCCACCGTGTCTGGGTCGGCGCCGAACTGAACCAGCAGCTTGGTGACCTCCAAATAGCCGCGCTCGCAGGCCAGACTGAGGGCGCTGCGCCCGGCGTCGTCGCCGAGGTTGACGGCGGCGTGATGCTCCAGCAACAGTCGCGCAAAGGCCAGTCGCCACGCCGGGTCCTTCAGCAGCACGGCGTACATGAGAGGCGAACGGCCCCGGTCCGATCGCCAATCCACAATAGCCCCATCGACGGCATCCAGGACAAAGCGCGCCAGATGCATCCGGCCAGCCCTCATGGCCTCCAGGAAAGTTTGCGTGGACGCCCCGGGGCCCAGGTCCCGCGGTTTCAGCATGGCCTCCCGCTGCTCCTGATCCCCCCGGTTCGTTTGCCTGCTGGTGACTCGAGGCGGCGGCTCTCCAGATCGGCTTTATAACCTCCCCTCAAGTCTCCATGGCGATCGCCGCCTTTCCGCTCCGGGAGAGACAGATCCGTTAAGCGCTCGGGTTGGCGGACTGGGGAGGGACGTCGCCCAAACGCTGAGATAGTTACGGACTGCAGGAGCTCCCCGCCCACCTGCTTTCGCCCGTCAGGATGGGCGAGAAGCTTAAGGCAAGTCCAAAGGACTGATTCCCCAGCCTCTTTGGCAACGGAGAGTCCCGGACGATCTCTGCGTAATTGAGAGACGGTCTAAGCAAGAAGAAACAGACGTTCCTGAATGGTGGGATAGTTTCCTCTGGCTTTTTCAAAGCTCAGTTATACAGTACAAGTAGTCCTCGACTTACAACAGTTCATTTAGTGACCGTTCAAAGTGATAGTATCATTGAAATAAGTGACTTATGACCGTTTTCACACTTACGACCATCCCATGGTCATGGGATCAAAATTCAGACACTTGGCAACTGACTCACATTTATGACAGTTGCAGTGTCCCAGCATCATGTGATAATTGCTTGCGACCTTCTGACAAGCAAAGTCAATGAGTAAACCAGATTCTCTTAACTACCGTGTAACTAACTTAAGGGCTGCAATGATTCACTTAGCAGTTGTGGAAGGAAAGGTCGTAAAGTGGGGCAAAACTCACTTAACAAATGTCGCACTTATCAACATCAATTTTGGGGTCAATTGTGGTCGTAGGTCGAGGACTACCTGCATTGACTAGGCAACATGATTCAGTGAGTAGAAGACAGCTTTATCTATAGGGCTATCAAATCTGGGCTGAAGAAATTGGCAGGATCATTGTATGGTAGCAGATGTTTTTCTCTTTGCTTAACTCTAATGGCTGTTTGGATTTTTGCAGCTCAGGTCTGGTAGTCCTGTATTGTATTTAATTACTTGGAATCTGGGATCTACCAGAAGTGTATTTTCCCCTCCATTAATTCTCTCTCTGCAATGGTCTTGCTACTTTGGTGTTCTGGGAATTGAAATCCAACATATCTGGAGGGCAATACCCTGGAGAAAGCTTTTTTAGTGTGTATAGTCAAGGCTATGGTTTTCCTAGTTGCAATATATTACTGTGAAAGCTGGACCATAAGAAAGGCTGAGCGCCAAAGAATTGAGGCCTCAATGGTGCTGGAGAAGACTCCTGCAAGTTCCTTGGACTGCAAGGTGATCAAATCGGTTAGTCCCAGAGGAGATCAACCCTGACTGGTCTTTAGAAGGCCAGATCCTGAAGATGAAATTCAAATACTTTGGCCACCTAATGAGAAGGAAGGACTCACTGGAGAAGAGCCTAATGCTGGGAAAGATTGAGGGCAAAAGAAGACGGGGACAACAGAGAATGAGGTGGCTGGGTGGAGTCACCAAAACAGTAGACGTGAGCTTAAATGGACTCCAGAGGATGGAAGAGGACAGGAAGGCTGGAGGAAAGTTGTCCATGGGGTTGCAATGGGTCGGACACGACTTTGCAACTAACCAAAAAAAAGCTTGCTGGGATATTTGATGTAGATGCAAGTTGTCACTTGATGGCTATGCATTTATGCATTCAGCTTTCTTTACTGCATGGTTGTGTTGGATAAGTTGTATATACATGTAGTACTCATGTACGGTCCTCAGGACCCAGAAACCAGAGTCTTGATTTTTTTATTTCTGCTTTTCACAGTGACAGATGGTAGCAGGACCAGTAAGTGGAACAAGCACCGTTTTCATGGTTTGAGATCATCCTGGTGGGTGCATTGCATCTCCTTTTGCTCTGCCAGGATATCCAGTGTCAATGCCTATGCAGACAGGACCTTGTATGCTTCCCAAAGTTTGTGCTTGGTTCTGTACAGATACTGAAACCAGATATAGGATGGTAAGAACAGAAGTCTCCAAACTTGGAGACTTAAGACATGGACTTCAATTCCCAGAATTCCCCAGCTGGCATGGCTGGTTGGGGAATTTTGGGGGTTGAGGTCCACAAGTCTTCAAGTTGCCAAGTTTGGAGTCCCCTGGTGCAGAAAGTGAGAAATTGACTTTGAAAGTGTCACTGAAATTGTCAATGACAATCTTTTCAACATATACCAGAATGTGCTGAAAGTCTTCCAGCAGTTGGCAATGGCCATAAGAACAAAGGCAGCGTACTATCCAATGTCTTGGTCCCTGAACTTCTTCTAAAGGACTCCAAAATGGGACAGGTTAGCTTAATCTTGAGTACAAATGAGCCAACTCCACATAGAAATTCACAATTTTCTGGCATTTTACCTTTGATTTTAGCAGGCTCAGTACCAAGAATTATTAAAATGTATTAATTATAATACTTATATAATAATGTAATTATTAAAACTTTTTTTAACATTGTAGTAATTTTCCTTAACTTAATTGTTTTTGACTGCTGATACAGATAATCCTTGATTTGTTTATTAACCATTTGGAGATACAACAGGAATGAAAAAAAATGACTTAAATTGGCCCTCACACTCATGACTTTGCAGTATCCCCACAGCCATGTGATCAAAATTCAAGTGCTCAGCAACCAGCATGTACGTACGATAGTTACAGCATCCCTAGGGGGTCCCAGCCAGTTTCTGACAAGCAGTTTCAATGGAGGAAGCAGATTAATTTAACAATCACATGATTCACATAACAACCACAGTGATTTGCTTAACGACTGTGGGGAAAAAAGATCATAAATTTGGACAAAAATCATTTAACAACCACCTTGCTTAGTAACAGAAATTTTGGTCCCAATTCTGGTAGTAAGTAGAGGGCTACATGTAGATAGGGAAGTTGAAAAACGGTTCCACCACAAAACCGCGGTAGACTAAAGCGCGCTCGACGAAAGCGCGTACCTGACGTCA